TGATGGGGGTTGTGTTCATGAGGCGTATGTGTTTCCGTCCTTTTCCTCTCAGCTTCCCTGGATCTTGTCCTGGAAGTACCTCTTAGAAGCGGAAGTTAGTTGTTCTGATCGGACTGAGGCTGGCAGGTCTCCTAACGGCAGCCTGTAGTCCGTTCGCACGGAGGGTCGTACTCCAGTGACTGCGGCGTGAAGTGTGTCTGTCGTCTCTTTGTAACCGGCCTTCCAGTCCTTCCTTTGGTTTTAATCCCGTGTGTCATTCTGTTCCTCCCTTTTATAGCTTTGTGAGGCGGTGCTTTAGAAAAACACATAGAGCCCTGACTGGTGTGGCTCAGTGGATAGAGCGTCGGCCTGCAGACTGAAAGGTTCGATTCCGGTCAAGGGCATGTACCTGGGTTGCGGGTACATCCCCAATAGGGGGTGAGCAAGAGGCAGCTGATCGATGTTTCTCTCTCATCGATGTTTCTAACTCTCTATCCCTCTCTCTTCCTCTCTGTAAAAAAATCAATAAAATATATTTTTAAAAAATATATAGAACGCTGACTGGTGTGGCTCAGTGGATAGAGCGTCTGTCTGCAGACTGAAGGGTCCCAGGTTCGATTCCAGTCAGGGCATGTACCTTGGTTGCAGACACATCCCTAGTAGAGAGTGTGCAGGAGGCAGCTGATGGATGTTTCTCTCCCATCGACATTTCTAATTCTTTATCCCTCTCCCTTTCTCTCTGTTAAAAAAATCAATAAAATTTATTTTTTTAAAAATACACACACACACACACACTGAGTTAATCTGGCCACTCAATATGTATGTATATCAAAGGCCTGGTGCATAAATTCGTTGCCTGCTGGTCGAACACCTGGTCAAGGGACATTTTGCATATCAGCCTTTTATTCTATAGGATACACACTGAGTGGCCAGATGATTATGCATTTAGAGTCGTCATCATCTGGCTGCTCGAGTATTTAATATATTTTTATTGATTTTTAACAGAGAGGAAGAGAGAGAGATAGAGGGCTAGAAACGTCGATAAGAGAGAAGCATCAACCAGCTGCCTCTTGCACACCCCCTACCGGGGATGTGCCCGCAACCAATGTATATGCCCTTGACGGGAATCGAACCTGGGACCTTTCAGTCCGCAGACCGACGCTCTACCACTGAGCCACACCGGCTTCGGCCGCTCGAGTATTTAAAATGGCCTGGCTTCCTGAGACGTTACAAGACCCGTTCTTGATCTGTGGAACGTGCCTCCAAGGATCGCCTCCGCTGGTTCCCAGGAAGGCAAGAACCTGCACCCTGACTCCCTGTCTTCCTCCCCATCGGTTTCCATGCGGCCATTACTGTGTGTGTGCAGTGTCCACGGATACTGTGAACCACACCATCATCCGTTCATACCCGGTTAATTCCCGGGGAGGGGCATCGTCCAGATTCCCCTCTGCGAGCGCTGCTTCCTGCCCGTGGCCTTGGCCTTCGCCGGGAGGGGTTCTCCGCCGGCGTGGCGCTGCCTGCGGGCGCTGGGTTGTGTGTCTGAGCCCGTCGCCAGCCGCCAGCCGCCGTCCCCTCCCTCAGCCGTGCGGAGGGGCGGAGGGGGCCCTGAACTATCCGGACTCGGGCCGGCCCGCGCTCTGGGCCTGGGCATACAGTGGCCATTGCTTTTGCCGAAGACCAGGCGGCATCTTTTCAGATTCACCCCGTCCGTGCTCTGTGCCCCCGCCCCTGCCCACATCTCCCCCAAATCGTGTAGATCCTTCGCTCTTTCCCGGGTTTTCCTTCCTGCCTCAGTGTGGGGCCTCCCTCCTACCACCCTCTCTTGTTAGTCTAACCTGCTTTTTAAAAACTGTTTTTATTGGTTTCAGAGAGGGAGGAAGGGAGAGAGAGAGAAGAACGTCAGTGATGAGAGAGAATCATTGATCAGCTGCCTCCTGCACGCCCCCCACTGGGGATGGAGCCCTCGACCCGGGTGTGTGCCCTTGATCAGAATTGAACCCGGGAACCTTCAGACTGCGCTATCCATTGAGCAACACCAGCCAAGGCAGTGGTGGCCATTGTTGATCAAACATTTGCCTAGAATGGGCTGTAACGGCACCTCGCCCTGGGAGACGCTGGCCCTGCCCTCCTGGACACAGAATTTGTGGAGTCGCTCCCCGGGAGGGGGTTGGCCTGGAGGCGTGGCCACCCCGTGTGGCTGCACCCCTGCCGCCTCCGAGGCTCCTCACACCCGTGCTCAGTGCTGTCCCCTTGCCGCATCGCTGGGCGTCCCGGGCGCTGCAGGGCTGGGCTGGGCGGGTCACCCTGTGGCGTCCATTTCCAGGGAACAAGGAGCCTTGGCTGCCGTCCCTTGTGCTCCGGACGTCGGACGTCGCCACGGCCACGTGCGGCTCAGACCTGGGGGTGCGGTGCACAGCCTGTTGCTTTCTGTTCGTTTTTAAATGTATTTTCTTCGCCTTGTCAGCGCCGTCAAGACGCCAGGTTGCCATGGAGACGGCTGGTTAAAATTCCCCGCAGCGTCCTAATTATAGCCGTTCCGTGGCGGCGGCGGCGAGCCACTTTGGAGGCCGCGGAGCGGAGGCGGAGAGGGAAGCCAGCGCTGCACCTGCCGTAACTGCCGGCCTCCGCCCCTGCCCTCGCCGGCTGCGCCTTCACGGCTGCTCAGAGCCACACGGGCGGTGCCCCGGCCGGGCACAGTGGCCAGGCTGCCTCCAGGGCCGCTGAGCAGCCGTCCCCCATGTCTGTGCCCAGGAGGCCGTTCCCTTCCCCCATGTGTCTGCGGCCCGATTCCCACGGCATCTCCTCCCGCGGAGTCCGGTGAGGCGTGGACGCGGCTGGGCACACAGCGCAGGGCCGGGATCCCTGGCGCCCGCCCTCACCGGCGCCCGCGAGTTCCTTCCCCGGACGCTGTCTGTTCCTCCCTTCTCACGTGGCGTCACGTCCCAGGAGCAGGGCTGTGACACATTCTCTCTGTTTTTAATTCTCACCGGAGGATGTTTTCATTGATTTTTAGAGCGTGGGAGAGGGAGGGAGAGAGGGAGAGATCCCGAGAAACATGGACGTGAGAGAGACACAGCGATGGGTTGCCTCCTGCACACACTGACCAGGGCCCAGGCTGGGGAGGAGCCTGCAGCCGAGGTACCTGCCCTTGACTGCAGTCGTGCCCGGGACCTTCGGTCGCAGGCCGATACTCTCCACTGAGCCGGCCCGGCTCAGGCTCTCCTGTTCTTACGAGGACACGTGTCCCACCACAGGTCCTGTGACCTCCCCGCCGCCTCCCTCAGAGGCCCCGCCCGCTCAGGGCTTCCCCACAGGAATCGTAGGAATCGATGGGGACAGGCAGACCCAGGGCGCTCAGGAGGACTCTGTCCCTCTGTTCCGCTCCCGCCCGCCCGCCCCTCGCTGGGCTCCCCAGGGCCCTCGGCCTCTGCCAGGACGGCTGAGGCTCGGCTTCTGTTCCGCAGCTTTAGGCGACCTGGAGGACACCGGGGTGTGTTCAGACTTTGACCTGTCGAGTGCCCGGCGGAGGGAAGAGCCGGCACCGTGGGGCTGGTACGCCCTCTGACCTGCTCACCCCCTCCGCCATCTCACCTCGGGCCCTGCGCTCTGCGGGGGAGGGGGGGGTCAGGGGTGTGAATGCCACATGGACAGTCACTCCTGTGGATGTTAGCAAGGACTGTCATGGGCCAGGTTCCCCCAGAACAAGCAGGGGTGCCTCTGTTGCCTGGGAGAGGCCCTGGGGGCTCAGGGCAGGCTGATGGGGGGGCAGGCGGGATGATAGACACGTGGACTAGGGGACCCAGGCCAAGCCCAGGTGTGAGCCCCACGTGGGGAGGGAGGGAGGTTCTGGCTTGGCCCCCAGCCCAGCCCAGATCTCCCCTGGGCGTGGAGCCCTCGAGGGAGGGCCAGGCCACGAGGCCCCCATCTTGGCTGTGGCTCCTGCCCCCAGGAGCCCAGCCCATGGCTCTGACCCGTCCCCCGTGAGGGGGAGAAGCAGGTTTGTGCTCCGTGACCAGATCCCGGCATTCCCGCCCGAGCCAGGCACTTGCTTGTTTTAAAAACATTCCGTTCAGCCGAAACCGGTTTGGCTCAATGGATAGAGCGTTGGCTTGGGGACTGAAGGGTCCCAGTTCGATTCCGGTCAAGGGCATGAACCTTGGTTGCGGGCACATCCCCAGTAGGGGGTGTGCAAGAGGCAGCTGATCGATGACTCTCTCTCATCGATGTTTCTAACTATCTCTCTCCCTTCCTCTCTGTATAAAATCAATAAAATATGTTTTTAAAAAATAATAATTAAAAAATAAAGTAAAAACATCCCGTCCAGTTTCCACATACATGTCCCTGCCCGGCCTTAAAGGCGGCTTCTCACCCATGTCACAGGGGCTGGGCCAGGGGCTGGGCTGGAGACCTGAACCGGGTCCAGCCGGGCCGCGGTTCCGGGAGAGGGCTGGCCACTCCCCTCCTGGGACTGGGTCGCATGCATGGCGTCAGAGTGGCGTGTGATGACGGATCTTTTTGCTTCCCCTGCCCCTGGTTCGCTGGGCTGGGGACCCGTGGGGGCTCCCATGGGGGGCTGGGCCAGGCTGGTGGGCGCTGTGGTCGGGCTCGCTGGACCGTGTGGCAGCCGCAGCCCCTGGGCGGGCAGGAGGCATCATGTCACCGGAGCTGAGTCTGAATTGCATCCGTCCCTGTGCAAGGCGCCTGGTGTCCATGCCGGGGCGAAGGGTGCACAGGACACGGGGGGACACGGCGGTCGCAGAGGGTCCCAAGCCTGACCCCGGCGGGTGGCCTGCCCTGTGGCATCGGGCTGCTGCCTGGGCCCCGTCTGCCCCCACCCCCCCAGGGCCGTGACAGGACCACGTGATGGGGGGCCACGTGAGGAGGGCAGGGGGGAGCGGCTGCTGTCATCACGCCCGTCTCCCAGGCCCCGGGGTGGGGGTGGGGGTGGGGGTGGGGGTGGGGGTGGGGGTGGGGGTGGACTGGAGCTGCGGCCGCAGCTCACAGCCTCCATGTCCTTCCAGAATCCATCTACCGCCGCGGAGCCCGAAGATGGAGGAAGCTGTACCGCGCCAACGGCCACCTCTTCCAGGCCAAGCGCTTTAACAGGGTGAGCCCTCCCCCTGCCTCACCCTCCCCACCCTCTCCCCGGGATATGGGCGCTGGCTGTCCTGTGCCGAGTGCTGGGTGCTGAGTGTTCTGTGCTGAGTGCTGAGTGCTCTGTTCCAAGTGTTGGGTGCTGAGTGCTCTGTGCCGAGTGCTGAGTGCTCTGTTCCAAGTGTTGGGTGCTGAGTGCTCTGTGCCGAGTGCTGAGTGCTCTGTGCTGGTTGCTCTGTGCTGGGTACTGATTGCTGAGTACCGGGTGCTCTGTGCTGAGTGTTCTGTGCTGGGTGCTGGGTGCTGAGTGCCCTACTGCTTTAAGGGAGAGAGAAGGAAGGGGAGGGGAGGGCGCTCTGCCCGCACACAGCAGAGAGCCCGTGTGGAGGGCCACAGGCCCCTCTCCCGTTGGCAGTGGCTTCCCAGGCTCCCTGAGTCCATGTCTGTCTCCCGGGGCTGGGTGATGCTGTCTGCCTTGCCCCTGGGTGCCTGGCTGTGCTGTCTGTCGGGCCTGTGGCCTGTGGCCTGTGGCCAGCCGCGTGTGCAGAGATGGGTGTGGGTGGGACAGACCCCAGATGTGTGGTGACGGCACCGTGTGTCCCGGCAGGAAGGGTCTCTTGACCTTGGCCACCCCACACGGCCGCCGCCCAGCCCGCGGTGAAGGGCCCTTTAGCCTGTGTCCCGGGCTTTGTGACCCGTCGATCCTCTGGAAACTCCGCCCACATGGCCGTGCCGTCCACCTCACCGCCGGAGGGGATGTGGGGGGCTCGCGGGGCTGTTGGGAAAGCACCCAAATCCGAGGCTTAAAACAAGCCGGGCATCCCCCGTGGTGGGCAGGGCTCCCTCTGCGTCTCCAGGGGGTGTTCTTCCCACTCTTTTACTTTTCATACTTATTTAAATTGATTTCAAAGAGGAAGGGAGATGGAGAGACGGAAACATCAATGAGAGAGAATCATGGATTGGCTGCCTCCTGCATGCCCCACACTGGGGATCAAGCCTGCAACCTGGCATGTGCCCTTGTTCGGATTCAAACCTGGGACCTTTGAGTCCACAGGCCGATGCTCTACCCACTGAGCCACACCAGCCAGGGCCTTCCAGCATTCTAACTGTGGTGCTGCGGGTGCTGCTGCTGTTCCCAGGCTGCTGTTCTATCCCCACTTCTCCCTCTGCCTTCCCTGCCCACCCCCCGTGCCCGCGTCCATGCCACTAGGACCCCAGGCATGACTAGGCCCACGGCCTAGCCAGCCTCATTGAACTTGACTGACTGCCCCTACAATGATGCTTGCTCCAAGTGAGGCCTCCCTCGGAGGGTCCGGTGGCCATGGACCGGGACACACACATACACACACACACACCACTGAGCTCAGTATGGCCCACCTGTGGCCCCACCAGGTCCTCAGAGCCAGGCCCCCTCACTGTCTGTGTTGGCTCAGACGTTGATCCCTCAGGCTGTGGGGGAGGGGTTCTGGGCCCCCCCTCATGTGGAACGCCTTGTCCAGACGAGGCCACTGCCCCCCGAGGCACAAGGCGGGCCAGGCTGTGGGAGGAAAACCCCTTGTGATTCAGGGTACAGGCCCTGCCCCTCCAGACCTCCCCACCCCTAGTCACTCGGGGTTCCCCCACACGGGGAAGCAGGACTTGGCAGGGACCTGCTGTGCCCCGAGTGCTGAGTGCCTGTACCCCGTCCCCGCCTGTTAGGGGGCTCGGTGCCACTGGCCCGGAGAGGGTGCGTCCGTCCGTCCGTCCGTCTGGGAGGGCTGGCCCTGGGGCTGCTGCGGGGCCACGCCCCGACCTGCTGGTGTAGGGTTCGACCAGCTTTCTGAATTGAACTCCAGCCCGGCTGTGGGTACAGGTGCACCCTTTTATCTGGACCCTCTCAGCAGAGAGAGATGTGTTTACAGCCTGTGAACAGTCACAGCTGGAAAGTTCTAGCTGGGAAGCGTGGGGCCTGGGCGGGGCCTGGGCGCGGTGGGCGGGGCCTGGGGCCGTGGCAGAGCTGAGACCAGCTTGGTTCTCACACGTGGGAGCGGCTCCCACTCAGGAGCAGAAAACCAACTGGTGGTGACCCTCAGGGTCCAGTCGCTTAGGCCCTGAAGCACAAAGAGGCCAAAGACGATGGCCTGTGGCCCGTGGCAGTCCCAGCACCAGGCAGACATTCCTCTGCCTCCGTCGTGTGGGCCCCTCCCCAGCCTGTGCCCACGGCGCCCACAGCTGCTCACCCCTGCCCAGCGGGAGTGCTGTCCCTCACACAGAGCAGGGCCCCTCCTCGGGGACACAGGTCCCCCCACTTGGATGACCTGAGGGGGCTCCTGAGCCCAGGCAGGGCCCAGTGTCTGAGGAGACTAGGGGCCCAGGCCTCCCGTGGCCCCAGCTCCACGCCGCCATCTTAAAGAATCCACAGGTCCTTTTGGCCTCGTGTCTCGCGGTCCCTCGGGCGTGGGGAGCCCGGCCCGCCTGACGGCGCTGTCCGCCCGCAGAGAGCGTACTGCGGCCAGTGCAGCGAGAGGATATGGGGCCTCGCCTGGCAGGGCTACCGCTGCGTCAACTGCAAACTGCTGGTCCATAAGCGCTGCCACGTGCTCGTCCCGCTGACCTGCCAAAGGCATATGGTGAGTGCCCTGTCTCTGCCCTCTCCCCACCTCCCCTCCCCACCCCCGGCCCTGCCCTCTCCCCGCCTCCCCTCCCCACCCCCGGCCCTGCCCTCTCCCCGCCTCCCCTCCCCACCCCCGGCCCTCCCTGCCTGACCCCCCCCTCCCTGCCCGGCCCCGCCCTGTCCCTGCTGCCCCTTCCTCCCTGCCATGGAGGACACGGGGCCTGGGCACAGGCCCCTAAGCAGTCGGGGACAGGGCCCCTCTTGCTGAACCCTGAGAGCCCCCAGTGCCCTTGGGAGGCCTGGTGCCCTCTGCGGCTCTGGGCAGCGTGGGGTTGAGCTGTGGCTTGTCCGACCCGGTGGTGGGACCTGCCAGGAAAGGCAGAACTCGCCCGCTGTGGGCACCTCCCCCTGAGCATTGGCCTCCCGGCCGCGGGCACAGCTGGCTCCTGTCACGGTGTGGGTGGCTTCAGGGCAGAGGGCTGTGGGGTTCCTTTCACTGTGGCTGCCAAAACCCACAGCGGGCACATGCCCTGGGACCCCCTAGGTCAGGGCTGGGAACCTTTTCCTGCCCAAGGGCAGGGGCACGGCAGGAAGGGGGTGGGGAGGGGAGAGACAGGGCAGGGACAGGACGGGTATTTATAATATCATTCTCCGGCCACACAGTATCACCGGCTTAGAATGAGCCTGTTCTATTGGTCAACAATGAATCACCTCACCTCACGCCCCGGCAGGACTGACCCGGCCCGCGGACAGGACTGACCCGGCCCGCGGGCTGGACGTTCCCCCCTGTCCTGGGGGTCTCCAGGCCCATATCCCCTCAGAGATGGGTTCACCCCAAAGACCAGCCGGTCCCAGGCTGAGGGAACCCACGCGGGCGCCCAGGTGACCCCGCGGGGAGCTGCCCCCATTGTGACTCAGTGTGGAACCCGTGGGCGGACGGGGCTCAGAGCTGCCTGGCCGCTGGCATGCGCAGGAGCCGCAGCGAGGGCTGGGGGGCGGCCGGGCCTCCGGGGAGGGCGCCCGGTGCAAACGGGATCTCCGTTGGGGGCAGCTCCGGTCACGGCCTTGCGACCAGGTAGCGGCGGGCAGAGCGTGTGAGGACATGTATGAGGACACGTGTAACGACGTGTTTTATTTCTAAATGTTTTCCATGGGTTCAGAGAGAGGAAGAGGAAGGGAGAGGGATGGAAATATCAACGATGAGAGAACCATTGATCGGCTGCCTCCTGCCCGCCCCACGGGGTCGAGCTCCGAAGCCGGGCCTGAGCCCTCGCCCAGAATCGACTCGTGACCTCCTGGTCCGTCGCCAACACTCACCACGGAGCCGGCTGGCCATCATGTCTGCTTTTCTGTTTTTATTGTTTTTATTGATTTTTTACAGAGAGGAAGGGAGAGGGACAGAGAGTTAGAAACATCGATGAGAGAGAAACATCAGTCAGCTGCCTCCTGCACACCCCCTACTGGGGTACATGCCCTTGATCCGAATCAAACCTGGGACCCTTCAGTCCGCAGGCCGATGTTCTACCCACTGAGCCAAACCAGTCAGGGCAGGGGTCTGCTTTGATAGAAGCTTTGCAGTCCCTCCTCTCGGAGCTCCAGCTCCTGTGCCCTGGCCCTGCCCCTGCCCTAACCCTCCGCCCTGCGCCCTGGCCCTGCGCCCTGGCCCTGCGCCCTGCCCCTCACCCTCCACCTCACCTTCCGCCCTGACCCAGTGTCCCTGCCCCTGCGCCCTGCCCCTAACCCTGCGCCCTGGCCCTCGCCTGCCCGTCCCGCAGGATCCCGTCATGCCGTCCCAGGAGCCTCCGGTGGGTGACAAGGACGACGACGCGGACCTCGCTCCCGAGGAGACCGATGGCAGTAAGGGCGCTTCCCCTGGGTGCCGCTGGCCTCCCCTGCCACCCCGTCGCCTCCCAGGGACCAGGCCATGGTGGCCGCCGTCGGGGGCCGAGAGCTGCTCTCCGGGGCCTTCCCTGGGCCCTGCGTCCCCCCGAGGTGCTGCCGTGGGAGCCGGGGCTGGTCTCCCTCTGCGCCTGCAGGGCGTCTGCCAGGCGCTGGGCGTGGCAGCCACCGCGCCGGCCCCCTCAGCTGGCCTCAGAAAGAGGCCTGCTGGGCAGCACTGGGCGCTCGGCGTGTGTTGCCGATCCTGGGGTTTGTAGGGTTTTTTGTTGGTGGGCATAGGCTCCTCCGTCCCAGGAGCCCTTTGGGCTGACATGCGGCCAGCCTGTTAGCACCGCACCTGCCACATAGAGGACTCCTAACACAGTGCCCGCCACTACCCAGCACCCACCACCCAGCACCCAGCATCCACCACCCAGCATCCAGTAGCCACCACCCAGCACCCACCACCCAGCACCCAGTATCCACCACCCACCATCCACCACCTATCACCAAACATCCACCACCCCCACCTGCCACCCAGCATCCACCACCCATCAGCCAGCAACCACCACCCAGCACCCAGCATCCACCCACCTGCCTACCTGTCCATCACCAATCATCCACATCATTCACTCGCCCACCCACCATCCATTATCCACCACCCACCATCCATCCACCTATCCATTATTCATTCATCCATCTACCTACCCACCACCTACCCATCCACCCGTCCACCCACCATCTACCCATCCATTCACCCACCATCCGTTTTTCACTCATCTATCTACCTGTCCATCCACCCACATACCCACCCTTCCACCATCTACTTTCCACCAACCACCATCCATCATGCACCATCTCCTCCCCATCCACCTGCCACCACCTCCCTGTCCATCATCGTCCATCTGTCTATCATCCATCGTCCATCTGTCCCCGGTGAGAACAAAGCCTGGCAGGTGGACACCAGCCTCTCACATGACTGGTTTCATGGGCTGCGAGGGGCCGGGAGGCGCGTTTTCCTCCCTGGTGGACTGGGCGTGGCTGCTGCAGGTGTCAGCCCCGAGCACCGCTCGCCGGGCCCTGGTGCCGGGCCGTCCTCCTGACCCTGTGACTCCTTGTTCCTCTCTCCCTAGTTCCTTACCTCTCCTCCCGGAAGCGGGACAGCATCAAAGATGACTCTGAGGTGAGTGTGGGACGCCTCAGATTCCATTCTGTGGCTCCTTCCTGGGCCAACGGAGGAATCTTACCGTGAACTGGACATGTGTGGGGACGTGGCTGGAAGGAGGGTGTCTGAGGGGTGTGCAGGTGAGCCCCTGCAGCATGGGGCAGACGTGCATGAAGTTTAGAATATTTGTAGTTAGTGAGAGGCGACCCTGAGTGGCTAGATGACAGAGTACTAGCAGGTGAACGTGGCAGGGTGAGCCGTGGCTGAACCTCAGAGTGCGGGTGCCGTGCTCAGCATCTAACCCCCTCCCGATGCAGAACACAACCCCTCCCGGTGCAGGACACAACCCCTCCCGGTGCAGAACGTAACCCCCTCCCGGTGCAGAACACAACCCCTCCCGGTGCAGAACGTAACCCCCTCCCGGTGCAGAACACAACCCCTCCCGGTGCAGAACACAACCCCTCCCGGTGCAGAACGTAACCCCTCCCCTCCCGGTGCAGAACGTAACCCCTCCCCTCCCGGTGCAGAACGTAACCCCTCCCGGTGCAGAATGTAACCCCCTCCCAGTGCAGAACGTAACCTTCTCCCAGTGCAGAATGTAACCTTCTCCCGGTGCAGGACATAACCCCTCCCGGTGCAGGACGTAACCCCTCCCGGTGCAGGACGTAACCCCTCCCGGTGCAGCACGTAACCCCTCCCGGTGCAGAACGTAACCCCCTCCCGGTGCAGAACGTAACCCCCTCCCGGTGCAGAACGTAACCCCTCCCGGTGCAGAACGTAACCTTCTCCCGGTGCAGGACAACCCCTCCCGGTGCAGAACGTAACCCTTCCCGGTGCAGAACGTAACCCCTCCCAGTGCAGAACGTAACCTTCTCCTGGTGCAGAACGTAACCCCTCCCGGTGCAGAACGTAACCCTTCCCGGTGCAGAACGTAACCCCTCCCGGTGCAGAACGTAACCCTTCCCGGTGCAGAACGTAGCCCCTCCCGGTGCAGAACGTAACCTTCTCCTGGTGCAGGACATAACCCCCTCCCGGTGCAGGACGTAACCCCTCCCGGTGCAGAACGTAACCTTCTCCCGGTGCAGAACGTAGCCCCTCCCGGTGCAGAACGTAGCCCCTCCCGGTGCAGGATGTAACCCCTCCCGTGCAGAGCGTGCGAGCTGCCATTGGCTGAGGTGTGGGGGCCCAGGCGGCCGGCGGCCTACTGTGGCTCCTCTGGCCCAGAGCGCTGCGCTGTCAGGGCGGATAACGGTCGCACTGTCTGTGAGGAGACAGCACCTTGCCGGCCCTCAGGGAGCTTTCGTGGCACCGTGTTGGCGTGGCTGTCTCCACATCAGTCCAGGGGCTCAGGTCATCACCGTGGGCGCAGAACACGTGGCCCCAGGCTCGGGGCTGGCCGATTTGGGGGGGTGGCTCATGAGCCTTCGCATTGTCTCCTGGCCCTCTGCGGGGCTGGCCTTGTCAGGCCCGGGGCTGCACGTGGACTGCGATGCCCACGAGTTCATTAGTGACGTGACTCCCACTCCTGGGCTCAGCCCTCAGGTTTCCTGTGACCCTTCCTGTGCCGGGCGTTCCCATCGCGGAGATAGTGCCTCGGGCACCTCTCACAGGCACAGAGAGGCCCTTCGTCTTTGGGGACCTGGGTGCCATGTGAAGGCCGTTCTGTGAGGGGATGGGGGGAGGAAGACGGGGTGGCGAGGAAGGGACACCCAGGACCTGGCTCTGGCAGTGCAGGCTGCCGCCTCAGAGATGGGTCTTTTTCTCTTTTTAAAATATGTTTATTGATTTCAGAGAGGAAGGGAGAGGGAAGGAGAGAGAGAAACATCAATGGCGAGAGAGAATCATGAATCGGCTGCCTCCTGCAGCCCCACCCTGGGAACGAGCTCACAAGCTGAGTATGTGCTCCGACCTGGATTCTACCATGACCTCCAGGTGCATAGGTTGACGCTCAGCCCTGAGCCCGCCGGCTGTGCTTGGGGCAGGTCCGGTGTGACTCCCCAGAAGCTGCGGTCCCTGAGGCTCCATCTCCCCAGCACCTCTTCACCCCGATGGCAGACCAGGCCCAGGCTGGTTCCCGAGCCGTCGTTTTTGTGAAATCGTTTATTTCGTCAAATGACGCATCCTTTGTTTTCCTGTTGTGTGTTTCCCACTCCGCCAAACCGTCCTCCGGTTCTCCAGTTCCCCTCGGACCCTGACGGGCATCCTACGGTCTAACCCAGTTCTGGCACAGCTGCCAGGAGCCGGCCCTGCCCCACGGGAGGATTGGGATCAGGAGACCACCCGCCTCCCGTGCAGGTCACCAGGCAGCTTGTGGCCTGTGCTGCCATCAGCCGCCTGTCTCAAGTGGGCCACGGGCTCAGAGACGCTCACAGGGTCGTAGTCGCAAGCTCATTGTAAAAAGGCGCCCTGGGGGGTCACTCTCCCCAAGTCAGCACCTGTTTGTCAGCCTGGATGATCTCCGCTGTCCTTGGGGTTTATGGGGTTTCCTTACACGGGCAAGATTAAGCCCACCCACACTGAGCTCAGACCTGCCCCTCCCTGTGGGACAGAAAGTTCCCACCCTCCCACCTCCCAACCTCAATCTCTCTGGTTGGTTTCCCTGGCAACCGCCCTTCCCAGGTGATGGAGGGGCTTTCCCGTCGCCTTGTTAGCATCACAAAGGCCTCTGGCTCTTGGGAAATTCCTGGGCATTAGGAGCTCTGCTCCAGGATGGGGGGGGGGGAGTGGGAGGACCAGATCCGGGACCTTTTCCTAAACCCGGGCCGGCCAGAGGGGGTCCTCAGGCTGAGAGGGTTCTGGCCGGGCAGACCTGCTGCTGCCCTTCCTGTTCCTCCCGGCTCGGGCCTGTGCCACCTCTGTCCAGCCTCAGGGAGCTGCCCGGCTACTTCCCAAGTGCCCCCCAGATGCCCCGGTCAGTCTCCTGCCTGTGATCCGAGAGCGAGAGTCAGAGCCTCTTACCTCCTTGGCCCCCAGGGTCCTGGCAGAGGTGGGCACGCAGGAGGCGGCCAGCCCACAGGCAGGGAGGCAGTGGTCGCCCCTCCCTCTGACCACGCGTCCCAGTGACACTCGCTGTGGAGACGGGGCTGGTGCTGGCCGGGGAGGGCCAGGCCGCTCCAGGCCGCAGCCTGCTGCCCTGGGCACGTGAGCCTGCGGTCACCTCCTCAGTCCCGCGGGGCTGCCTCCACGCATCCCAGATCCCGGATCCCTTACTCTACATGGGCCACCGGGGCGGGGCGGGGCGGGGCGGGGCTGCGGCCTGGAAATGCAGAGCTCCTCCCGCCGAGAGCTGCACCGCCCGTAGTTCTCGGCTCTTCTCCCGAGCAGGTGGCTGAGGGCGGGCGCAGCCGTGGTGGAGGCGGCAGAGCTGCCCCGTGCTTCCCTGAGTCCCACCAGTCCCCCTCCTCTCCGTTGTCCCCCCGCTCAGGACCTCAAGCCGGTCATCGATGGGATGGACGGCATCAAGATCTCTCAGGGGCTGGGCCTGCAGGACTTCGACCTCATCAGGGTCATCGGGCGCGGGAGCTACGCCAAGGTCCTCCTGGTGCGGCTCAAGAAGAACGACCAGATCTACGCCATGAAGGTGGTGAAGAAGGAGCTGGTGCATGACGACGAGGTGAGCCGGCTTCGGTGCCACGGGAGGAGGTGCCACGGGGGGAGGTGCCACGAGGGGAGGTGCCACGAGGGGAGATGCCATGGGGTCTTGTGGGAGGTGGCACCCTGGGAGGAAGTGCCACAGGAGGGAGTGCCACTGGGGAGCAATGGGGCGCCACAGAGGTAGTGCCACGGGAGGAGATGCCACGGAGTCTCACTGGAGGTGGCACCCCGGGAGGGGAAAGCCATGTGGAACCACACGGAGAGCCACGGGGAGCGCCACAGGAGTGCACGGCACAGTTTCTTATGTGAACTTTAGTTCTGGTTTTGTGGGCTTTACTCTTTTAATCAAAGTGAAATACACATGTAACTAGCCACGTAGCCACCCTGAAGTGTCGCACCAGTGGCATTTAGCACCCCCTCCCCCATGTAGTAACAAGGCACCACCAACCACCCCCTCTCCCCGGTGCCAGGCCATCTGGTCCCCAACGGAGACCCGTCCCTGTTAGCCCCCTTGCAGCCCCGCGAGGCCCATCGGCTCTGTCTGGGTCGCTGTCCTAGGCGGGTCGCTGTCCTAGGCGCTGCGTGCACACAGGTCACTCGCGGGGCCTTAGTGTCCGGCTTCTCTCCCTGCGCGTCTGCTCAGGCTCCTCCCAGCCTTTCACGGCTGAGGAACGTTCCGGCGTGCGGTGGCCCCTGGGTTGTCCAGTCAGTATGCGGGCAGGAGAGAGGCCGGGCAGGAGAGAGGCCGGGCAGGAGAGAGACCAGGCAGGAGGGAGGCCGGGCAGGAGGGAGGGGTATGGGCAGGAGAGAGGAGAGGGGTGTGGGCAAGAGGGAGGCCGGGCAGGAGGGAGGCCGGGCAGGAGGGAGGGGTGTGGGCAGGAGGGAGGCCGGGCAGTCGGGCGGAAGAGCCTGGGCTGGTGTCCACCGGGAAGGGAGGAGGCAGCCCGGCGGCCAGCAGGGTGCTCTGCCTGAGCGCCTGGGTGACCATCCGCCTTTGGCAAGCAGAAGGCGGGCTGGTCCCGAGCTCTGTGGAGGCCTGGCTTGCAGGGGGAGGCTGTGTGGAGTTTCCCAGCAGCCATTGCACCAGCAAGTCTGGAGCTGAGGACAAGAGCGGGGACCTCTGCCCGGACGGGTGGAGTTAGAGCCATACCACCCCGGGGTCTCCTGCAGGCGGGAAGAGGGGCTTCTCCCAAGTTCCAGCAAGGACCGGAGCAGCGGTCTGGGGGCGGGCACTGCTGGGGGATGGGCATGGGACTCTGGAGTCTGCGTAACCCTCCACCGTTTCCTGTGCCCTCACCGGGGGTGATACCTGCCTCCCAAGGCTGCCCGGGAGCACAGAGAGCCTGTGGCCAAGGCCACGCTCAGCTGGGACAGTGGTGGGAACGGGGGCAAATGACAGTTGTCACAGGATAGAGAATGCTGCCGCCTGGTGGGGACGGAAATGGATGGAGATGAGATGGTGGTGGTGGTGATGGTGACGGTGACGACAGGGGAGATGGTGATGCTGATGGTGGCAGAGGTGGCGATGGCAGTGCTGGGTGGCAGTGATCTCTAAATGGCTGTTTCTCTGCGTGGTCTCCACGAGCGGAGGAGAGACGGGCCTTCCCCGGGCTGCCCGCGGTGGTCAGGAGCCCCCTGACCCCTGGCTTCTGTTCCAGGACATCGACTGGGTGCAGACGGAGAAGCACGTGTTCGAGCAGGCGTCCAGCAGCCCCTTCCTGGTCGGCCTGCACTCCTGCTTCCAGACCGCCAGCAGGTAGGGAGCTGGGCCCGCTGCTTCCTGTGAGCCGCAGGCTCCTCCCGGCGCTGAGTGCGGGCTGGGTTTGTCTGCGATCTTTGTTCTCATTGGCTGCTGTCATGGTGAGTGAATGTCAATCATCCGGACCCCAAGTACTTTGTTCTGTGAGCACAGAGCCCCGGCTGCCCCTACCAGACGGATCGCAGATTCCGCCTCCTGAAGGTCTCCGTTCCCCCTTCTCCTGCCCGAACCCGCCCAGCCTCCGGGGAGCGGGTCCCTGGGCACCACAGGCCCTTTGGAACCCAGCGTGAGGGCGCCCTGCTGCTGGAGGGCGCCTGTGCGGCAGGGCAGGCAGAGCTTTGACGGCTTCCTCGCCGGGTGTTTCTGAGAGCCTTTCCCTGGCTCCGGGCTCCCATTTACGTTCTGAACGGCTTCTGCGCTGTCTGGGCCTGTGGACCCGTCACTGTGACCGCCCGGCACCTGCTCTGTCTGACTCGGTGGCCGCCTGACTGCTAGCCCGTCCTTCGGTGCCTCCTCTTGTCCGGGGGCTCGCCGGGAAGTGGCAGGCAGGCTTCCTCGGTCGCACATGGCTCACTGTCTCCCGGCCTCCATTCAGCACGACCGCAGCCTCCTGGGTCAGGGGTGGGCCCAGGGAGGGATTGCCCACAGCCCGCCCCTCACTGGAGTCCAGAGAGCACTGGCTGGGTGTTTGGTGAATTGCACTCCATGAACTTACAGGCGTGGAGGTCCAGGCGAATTTCCCAACTCGGCTTCCCTCGCCTCCGCCGAGCACAGCCTGGCGCTCAGGCCTGGAGCCGCGGCCAGGGCGTCCCCGTGGGCAGGGCAGGCAGAGCTTTGGCGGCTTCCTCGTCGGGTGTTCCTGTGGCCCCAGGAAGACAGGCCACTCCCCTTGTCTTCCGAGCTGGTCCTCACAGCCCAGGGGTCGCTGGTGTGCACGCGTGGCCTCTCCAGGGCACAGGCCTGAGGGTATGGGCCCTCAGGGTAGAGGGCACAGGTCTGAGGATACAGGGCACAGGGCACAGGGCAGCGCTGAGACCCAGTTGCTGCTGAACTTCTGCTGTTGAACCTCATAATAGGATGGGTTTTGCTCTTGAAAAGCATGGGCGCCCATTATACCGGGTCGGGGACACTATAAACGGCACCGAGAGTCGCCTTCGCTGGACGGGAGGGACCTGGTGTCTGAGTGCCCGCCCGGGGAGTTGGCGAGGGGGGATGGGGGGAGGCTCAGCCTCGGGGGAGGTCAGCTACCTGCAGGGGGCACGGGGGGGGGGGGGTTGGTGGGAGGTTGCAGCAGGGAGCAGGTGTGCCAGCGCAGGCTGCCCACGCTCAGCAGGCGTGCTGATTGGAGGCGGCGCTGGCAGGGTGTGGCTGGGACCAGGGACAGGCGAAAGGCTGTGACCTGGGCGCAGTCGCCTGTGACTGACAGCCAGCGTGTCCTCCGTGGGCACGTGAGTCACCACCCCTGCCCACGCGGTACGCCTGTCACTGCCACTTTAACCAGAACAGCATCCTGAGTGACGGGTGCTGGTGGGCGGCTCGGCTCCTCAGCCTGTGCTGGCACCTGTGACGGCCCCGGCCGTGTGCTCGCTGCCATCTGGGCTGGCGTCCGAGCAGGACCCCCGCCGGTGGCGGGCCACGAGGGCAAAGGAGACTCCGTCTTCCTGGGTGACTGGCTCGGCCGGGCACTGGAGGGTTTGGGGGTTCATTTCTGTGTCAAGTGCATAGACTGGCGGCCTCGGGGCGGGGGCGCGGCCTCTGCCTGGAGCCTGGGGCCGAGTCCTCCTGTTACTGGGGGACCCCCCCTCAGACACCCAAACCCCACGAGGGGGCTGATTGAGGCGCTTGGGGACAGGACGTGTTGGGGGTCTGTCACTGGGGACCCCCCCACACACACACACACACCACGAGGGGACTGATTGAGGCGCTTGGGGACAGGATGTGTTGGGGGTCTGTCGCTGGGTCAGAGGAGGGGGTACGATCCCCGAAAGGTGGGGGTGACTTGGTGCTTCACGTCCCGGCCTGACCTGGACGACGCTGGCGCTGAGGCCGTGGTGCCGCCCCCTCGTCCAGCGGACGCCCTGCCTGGCCAGGTCCCTCCCGGGTCAGCGCCTCCCTCGGGCTGGGCCTGGGCCCAGACGAGCCCGGGGCTCCTTTGTCAGGAGCCTGAGACTGCTTTACCGAACGTCAGAGACCACACGAAGTAAGCGTCAGCACACCACAGACACCTACACGCTCTAACACGCAGCCCGTGCCCAGAGGAGCCCTCGAGTGCGCTCTGCTCCCTGCGCTCCCCGTGCTGCCCGCGCCCCGTCCGTGTGCTGCTTCCTTTTGCTTCTGTGTTTGCTGCTTATTTCCCTCACGGGCCTTGGAACCACCTGTCTCACCCGGAACGGAGGGGAAACGGGCATGTCGATGGGGATGTGCAGGTTTGCAGGTCCCAGGACACCAGGGTCCCTGTGGCAATAGCCCCTCTTCCCCGCCCCCTGCGGCCCCTCCCACCGGGATCCTACCTGCCATTCCCACTCCCTGAGGGCGGGGAGAAGGGCCTCTCCCTCCCTAACGCCCCCGGGGGAGCCGCGACCTACAAACCCGAGAGCCGCCCTCCACAGGGTATTTCTGGAAAACCTTGCGGGAATTTAATTGTTAAAATGGGACCTGATTCAGTCTGATAATGAGCTCAGCTCACCTGCATAAACGGCTGGTGACGCATGTGCATCTGGCGACACCATCCTGTCTTAGTTCTGTGACGCCCGGGACCCCGCAGCTTGGGCCTGACCCCAGCGGCCCCTGGACCGCTCCCCATGTCACCACGGCTTGGTCAGCGCTGACCCCCGACCCCAGGCCTGCTGCTCCCAACCTTGCACTGGGCTCCGCCCGAGCACAGGGTTTGGGCTCTGCCCAAGGCCCACCCTCCTTCCTCCCCTGGGTCCTGCCTGCAGCCTCCCCCTCTGGCTCCACCTTCTCTATCAGGGTTGCCCTCGCTCCGCCACCGCCCACTGTCCCCTCCCCAGAGCCCGTTGTAGGCGGACAGGGGCCTCACGGCCTCGCCACCCCTCCCCTGGGCCGGGCACGTGGCCTCCTCTCGTGGCCTCTCCTCCAACGTGTGGGGCTGGTCCATGTGTCCAGGCCTCCTCCCTGCGGGCTCTGCCACGGCCCCATCTCATTTTTACCTTTTCCCCTGAGGCCGGCCTCGCTCCCTGAGAGCGGAGAGCTGTCGTCAGCACTAGCCTAGCGGCCGCTCTATCAGATCTGCGTTTCCCTGACATCGGGGATGCTGAGCATCTTCCGGGTCGTGTGGGCCCTTGCGCTGTGGGGAGAGTGGGGGGACACAGGCCGTGCAGTGCGGGAGCAGCCCCCAGTCCGTGCTGTGCGTTCTGGGGCCTCGGCCAGGCTCCGGGGGTCCTCTCTGACACAGGGCGCCCCTCGCCCGGGTTCTAACCCACGAGCAAGTGGGTGAGCAGTGGGGGTAGAATGGACAGCAGGGCCCCGGTGTCCCCAGGTGATGCTCCTCCCGGACCCAGGAGCCTCTCGGGACCAGCCGCCGGCCTGGAACCACCCGAGGGCCGAGGGCACAGGTTCCGGGCCGGTGGTCTCAGCCCGGCGCCCTCTCCTGCAGGCTGTTCCTGGTCATCGAGTACGTCAACGGCGGGGACCTCATGTTCCACATGCAGAGGCAGCGCAAGCTCCCGGAGGAGCACGCCAGGTGGGTGGGGCCGGGCGGCCGGGCGCGGGCCGGGGACCTCCCAGGTCACGGGAGCTGCCAGAGGAGTGAGTTTGGGGGCGTGTGCCCGCTCTCTGCGTGCGTGTGGCAGGTGCCAGTCCTGCAGGGAGGCGGGTTCTGGGCATGTGCCGCAGGCTCCATTCCCCAAGTGGGGCAGGTTCTGCCTGAGCTCCAGGGCCGGCTTCCTGGCTGTTCACACGACGCAGAGCCAGGTTTGCGGGGCACAGACGGGGATGGGGCACAGACAGGGGGATGGGGCACAGGCAGGGATAGGGGCACAGACAGAGGGATCGGGCACAGAGGGTTGGGGCACAGACAGGGGGATGGGGCACAGGCAGGGGGATGGGGCCCAGACAGGGGGATGGGGGCACAGACAGGGGGATGGGGCACAGACAGGGGGAATGGGGGCACAGACAGGGGGATGGGGCACAGACAGGGGGGGAATGGGGGCACAGACAGGCTGATCTTTCTAACCAGCGGGAAGGGAAAGACGCCACCACCACCCCCCCCTTCCTCTTCGTGTGGCCCACTTCCCTGCGGCGAGACCTCTGTCCACACCCTCACTTTCCTGTTTTCACCGCTTTCTCTTCCCTCATTTCCTCCCTGGACCACGGTCCAGGCCGTTCTGAGTCACTCGAGCCTTTGGGGAGAGGAGATTAATAAATCAAAGATCGCACTCTTCCCCCCACCCCCACACACTCACCTCTCCTAATTCTGGTGAAATACAAAGGACAGGAGTTTACCTCGTTCACCATTTCTGCGTGCACAGCTCAGGAGCATCAAGCACCTTCACACTGCTGTGCAGCCGGCACCTCCATCCTTTCTGGAACTTTCCATCTTCCCAACTACACTCTGTCCCCATTAAACACTCACCCCTGCCCCCTCCCCCGGCCCCTGCACCACCGGCTACTCTGTCCCTGGACTTGTCTCCTCCAGGGCTCCCTGGGAACAGGGTTCCACGGCCTCTGTCCTGAGTCTGGCTTTAAAAAAAAGAAAAAAAGCTTATTGACTTCAGAGAGGAAGGGGGGGGGGTGAGGGGAGAGAGAGAGAGAGAGGGAGAGGGAGAGGGAGAGGGAGAGAAACACATCAATCAGCTATTGGCCGCCTCCTGCATGCCCCCTACTGGGGGTGGAGCCTGCAGCCGGAGCCTGTGCCCTGACCTCCTGGTTCATAGGCGGATGCTCAACCCCTGAGCCTCGCTGGCCGGCAGCTCCGCTCCTGTTTAAGGCAATATCCCTGTGGGTGGATGGGCCACGTGCTGTCTGCCCCTCTGTCCATCTGGGACCCCGGCTTTCGCCCCCTCTTGGCGGGTGGAGGGAAGCTTGGATGAGGGGGCAGGGATCTGTTCGAGGCCCTCTTGCAGCTCTGCTTGCACCCCCAGATGTGGGGTGCTGGACTGTGTGGGCGCTCCATTTTCAGTTCCTCGAGGCCTCTCCACGCTGCCTTCCCTGCAGCTGCCCTTCCATGTCCCCACCCCCCCTCTCCGAGCCTGGACCTACCCCCAGAGCCCGGATCTACCCCTTCTGTCCTAGGCGACACTTGTTTTGCTTTTGGTTTGGGAGACTGTCTGTCAGTGCCCACCCCCACGGGGGCGGATTGTTTTGATGTGCATTTCCCTGGCAACTATGATGCTGAGCATCTTTTCTGGTCCTGGGGCCCTGAGCACTGTCAGCCAATGGGAGAGCGGCTCCCCCACCCAGCTCGTGCTGTGTGCCCGGCCTCGCCCGGCCCCGCGGCTCCCGCTGACCGCGTGTCCCCGCCAGGTTCTACGCCGCGGAGATCTGCATCGCCCTCAACTTTCTGCACGAGCGGGGCATCATCTACCGGGACCTGAAGCTGGACAACGTCCTGCTGGACGCCGACGGCCACATCAAGCTGACGGACTACGGCATGTGCAAGGTGAGTGCCGCCCCCACCTGGTCCCCAGGGTCTTTCCGAGGCTCGCGGCCCCGGCAGGCCCCATCGGAGGCCGTCCTCCCTCCTGGTGACACCTCTGTCCCCACAGGAAGGCCTGGGCCCCGGTGACACCACAAGCACGTTCTGCGGGACCCCCAACTACATCGCCCCCGAGATCTTGCGCGGAGAGGAGTACGGTGAGCGGCCGCAGCAGGAGGGGGCGGGGCCCCAGGACGCGGGAGGGGAGGTGGCGACGCCGCACCCCGACGCTGATGGCCTGTGCTCCCCAGGGTTCAGCGTGGACTGGTGGGCGCTGGGTGTCCTGATGTTTGAGATGATGGCCGGGCGCTCTCCCTTTGACATCATCACCGACAACCCCGACATGAACACCGAGGACTACCTGTTCCAGGGTGAGGCGGGTGGAGGGGGTGCGGGACGGGGTCCCCAGGCTGGAGGGTCCCCACATGAAACCGTGCGTGCCTGTTCTCAGACCCCCGGGGGCGGGGCCCAGGGCTCCTGTCACCTGGCTTAGCACAGGCTCCCTCCTGCCTGGCCACACGCTCCCTGGAGGCCTGGGCTGGGGGGCGGGAGGAAGGGGTTCTCAGCCAGGCCATGCCCCTTCCAGCCCACCTAGGGCTCCCTGCATCCAGGGCCCCTACCTGGGCTGTCCCTGTGGCGCCCTCTGGTGGCCGAGTGCGGAAAGGCCTGGGACACATGGTTTATCCAGGATGAGCACCTTTGGCCACGGCCACGGGTACCGACCAGGCCAATGGCAGACCTTGCTGGGCTTTGGGAAGGTCCCGGGGGCTGGCGGGGACGCGGCCTCTCACCACGACCCCCTTCGCAGTGATCCTGGAGAAACCCATCCGCATCCCCCGGTTCCTGTCCGTCAAGGCCTCCCACGTCCTGAAGGGCTTCCTGAACAAGGTACGCTCGCGGGCGCCCCCCCCTCGGTCACGCCAGGGCTCTGGGGGCCTGGCCCGGCTGTCCTGGAACCCGAGACCCTGACCACACCCACAGAACAGCGAGGGGCTTACCCCAGAGGCCGTGCGCGGAGGCTGGGCTTCGCCGCTGGCCAAGAGCGCGTGCCAGATGCTGCTTTGAACTCTGACCCTTAGGACCCCAAAGAGAGGCTCGGCTGCCGGCCACAGACTGGATTTTCCGACATCAAGTCTCACGCCTTCTTCCGCAGCATAGACTGGGACCTGGTAATGCGCACAGCATTGGGGTCCCTCCCCGCTGCGGGCCAGAGGCGTGGGGGTGCGGCCCTGGGTGGGGCTCGGGGGACCTGGAGCCCACGTGACAGACAGGGAGGAAGGGGGGAGGCCCCTCCATAGGCCCCTGGCCATGCTGCCCCTGGCCTAGGACCACCCCACCCCGTTGGTGAGTCTGTGTGGGGCCCCGGGTCCGGGCACCCAGAGGAAGGTGTTTTCTAAAGGAGTTTAGTTGTGGTTCCTGGTGTTAAAGGAGAAAGGAACCCTGTTTGTTTGAAAATACACACGTGGTTGCAAAGTTGCTGAAACGGGGTCTTTAAAATGTGATGTTTGGGAGGAAAACAAATACCAATGTCGAGCTCCAGCTGGAATTGGGTGCGGAGAGAGCCCGCTCTGGGTCACGGGCCAGCGTGGGCCTCCCGGGGGCACTTCCCACGTCCAGGACGTGGACCAGCGTTTGTGGCTGGAGGAGGGACCCCATCCACGTGTGGCCCTGAGTGGTAGGAGGTTCTGGGCAGGACCCGCGGCCCCTGTGGCTAGGTGCCAGCACAGGGGTTCACCGCCCCCCCTCCCCGCTTCTCTGGCACCTGTGGTCGCTGTCCCCCAAAAGCTCGGTGGCCACTGTGGGCCCCGGGGTGCAGCTGGGCTCACTCCATTACCGACTGGCCTGCTGATGCCGACACGCGGGGTCTGGGCCGCTTCCCTCTCGAGGCCCCAGAGGGTGGGGTCTGCTGGCTCCCTGTTCTCGCTGCGCTCGGGGCCGGTGGAAACTGTGTGCCTCGCGGTGGTGGGCTGTGAAGCCGAGGACGGGACCCTGACGTGACCTCCCGCGTGTCCCCAGCTGGAGAAGAAGCAGGCGCTGCCGCCCTTCCAGCCGCAGATCACAGACGACTACGGCCTGGACAACTTCGACACGCAGTTCACCAGCGAGCCCGTGCAGCTGACCCCCGACGACGAGTAAGCCCGGGCGGCCGCGGGGACCGTCCTGCGTGGGGTGTGGGGGCGGGGCCGCGGGGACCGTCCTGCACGGGTGTGGGGGCGGGGCCGCGGGGACCTTTTTCCTACGCTGGGGAGGGGAGCGGTCGTGGGGGGCGGGGGCGGAGGGCATCCCAGCAACCGAGCCTCCGCCCTGCCCGCAGGGACGTCATAAAGCGGATCGACCAGTCCGAGTTCGAGGGGTTCGAGTACATCAACCCGCTGCTGCTCTCCACCGAGGAGTCCGTGTGAGCGTCCGGGGCCGTGGACACGCCTGTGAATGACCGCCTTGGCCGCCGCGCATGCATGCCGGGAGAAGCCGGGAGGACGCGCCGGCCCGCACCCGGCGCCCCGGGCGGAACGGTCCCGCAGCCCGGCCCGCGCCCAGAACTTGTTTCTGTGCCTGCGGCGCGGAGGCCCACGGGGCCGCGTCCGAGGGCGACACGGGCCCTCGATTCGAAGGTGCACACTTTCCAGAAGCCGCCCGGGCGCTGGGGACTCACTGTCATGTCCGAGGAATAAAGTGCGGTGGTCAGACCCCGGCTGCCTTCTTTCCGGCCGAGGCGCCTGCGTGTGGGCGGGACGGGAGCCCAGGCACCCGCGGCGGCGAACTTTGTGCGGAAGGTTTTCTAAGTCCCGGTAAGTTCCTGTTGTTAATATTTAACAAATATTTTCCTACCGAGCAGGTGAGTGGCCGCGGGGGCTGGCGCTGACGTCACCCCTCCCCCGCCAGCCGGGCCCGGACATCGGCCGGTGGAGATGCTAACAGTTGCTCTCCGGAGCAGCGGTAGACCAGACTAGACAAGGAAACTGGAAACTAAATCTGCTCAAAATATATTTCTGCAAACACTGCGCAGTGCCTCCCGATGTCTGTGTCGCGTGTTGGATTGGGGGGAGCGTTTTTGTGGGTTCCGGTGATGCTCAGAATGAGGACGTTTAAGATGCGTGTGTGCTAGGCCGAGGCATGGAATCCGCAACCCGCAGGCTCCCTGCGCTCCAGCAGGGCCGGCTCCCAGCCTGCCACCCTCCTCCCCGGGAAGCCAAACGGAAGGTTTTCTGGAAAGGGGTGCACCTTGTGGGTTTTTAAGTCCCTAGTACGTTAGCTGGGCACCGCGTCCCCCAGCGTCCAGTGTGAGCACGGCCGCAGCCCAGGCCCTCTGCACCTCCGTGGGGCGGGGCCGGCAATTGGGCAGGAGATGGTGGGAGGAACAGCCAACACCAAGCAGCTGCCCTGGAGCCGGTCAGCTCCACAGCACTCACGTCGCCCACGCCCGGTGCTCACGCTCAGGGCAACCGGGGCAGGAACGCGAGGCTCTCCGCCCCGCCCCCACCCGGGGTCTCTGGCCGCCCCCGAGGTGCAGAGCAGCCTTCATGCATCATGGAGACGTGTGTCCGCCAGCCCAGTGTCACCAGGAGACGCTGATCAGGACCAAGGCCGGGAGCACAGGGCAGAGCCCTAGACCGGCTCAGCCTCACGGGCGTCCCTGCCGGCGGGCGTCCAGCAGCAGAGCCTGGATCGGAGCTCAGTGGTCAGTCGGGACTGGCGAGGGCCGGTGGCCTGGGAAGGGAGCCTTTCTCCTCGGTGCTGCGCTGGGCTGTGACGGCAGCACCGGGCCCGGATGTGTCGGTTCGCTCCCCGTGGCTAGCTGGCCGCCGTGCAGTGTGTGGGGGTAGCAGTGCACTCCGTGGTGGGTACGGGCAGCTGTTGCTTCATAAAGTAAAACAGGCAGAGGGTGTGCTGGCCGAGGTTTGGAGTTACGTCCTGACGTTGGCCAGTGGCTTGTGGCCACGTCCTGTGGTTTTGTGCAACTAAAGGGCCCCTGGGTCCTGCTGTCCTGTGGTAGACACTCACCCACCACAGCCACGGCCGCTCTGCCCCTGCACATCATTAAAGACTTTCATGAAAGTGCTTACTGTTGTTCCTTCTTCTAAAAGTAAGTGTTTCCAGGAAGCAGAGGTGTTTGTGTGTGTGTTTGTTTTTAAATATATATATTTTATTGAGTTTTTACAGAGAGGGATAGAAACATCGATGAGAGAGAAACATCAATCAGCTGCCTCTTGCACACCCCCTACTGGGGATGTGCCTGCAACCAAGGTCCATGCCCTTGACAAGAATCGAACCTGCCGACGCTCTATCCACTGAGCCAAACCGGTTTCAGCGTGTTTGTGTTTTTAAAAAATATATTTTAATTGATTTCAGAGAGGAAGGGAGAGGAAGGAAGAGGTAGACACATCAATGATGAGAATCACTGTTTGCCTGCTGCACGCTGCCCACTGGGGATGGATCCCACAACCCGGACCTGTGCCCTGACTGGGAATCGAACCATGACCTCCTAGTTCACGGGTCAAAGCTCAACCACTGAGCCGTGCCGGCCGGCCGGGCCCCAGTGGCATGTTTTGATGTGCAGCTTCGGTTTTCTCTCAGGCTGTGTGCAGGGCAGTGGAGCCTCACCACACCACGTCCTCGGTGCTGTCCGCCAGGCACTGGGCAAGGTGGCTGTCGATGTCCAGCTGGGCCAGCCTGTAAGGAGGAGGGTGGTCACTCAGGGAGGGGAGGTGCTGCCTCCACTGCGCATGCACACCCGCTCTCCGCGGGGACGGAGAAACCCTGGGGTCTCCCTGGCTGGTCAGAAAGGAGCGAAAGTCTGGGGAGAGAGGTCACCTCCACGTCCTGTTCTCGGTCAGAGGCTCTGAGTGTGCCCTGGACAGGACATCGGGAGACCCTGTGGCACATGCATTCCCAAGCTCCTGCGTCCGAGGCTGGGCCCGAGCGCCCGGGAACTGGCGCCTGCTCAGCTGCTGGGAACTGAGCCGAGAGCCGATCTGCCCACGAAGGTAACGTGGGAAGGCCACACCCCTGGCCCGGCCGGGTCTCCAGCAGCAGAACCCACCTCTGCCCGTAGACGGGCTGGAGACACCGGAGCCACGCCAGGGAGGGGCCTGCTGCCCGCCCAGACGCCCTCTCCCTGCCCGCAGGGGTCTCCAGGCCAAGGCACTGCCAGGACCGCAACCATCAACTGGCCACATCCCGGCCAGGACAGGCCATCGCTGAGCCAGACGCAGGACGGGCTTTCGCCGGAACATGAGGGCAGGGACACAGCCCACAGGAATCCCTTCCTTGCCCCCTCCCCGCCAGGACAGTCGCCTCACCCACACCAGCCCTCGTCTCCTCCAGCTGTCTGGGTGCTGCCTGGACCCGGGCAGGGATGCTGAAGGGGTGCCATCTGGGCTCCCCAACACCAGACTGACTTGGTTCCCGTGAAATGTGAGGCGAGAGAAGCCTGGACTCTGACTTTGCCGGGGGCTCATCTCCGAGTGAGAAACCGAGTCCCCCCGGCCAGAGCGGCTCTGCTTCTTGAGCATCATCCAGGGCCCTGAAGGGTTGCCGGTTCAATTCCTGGTCAGGGCACAAGCCTGGGCTCCAGGCTCGACCCCCAAGGCGAGTGCGCAGCAGGCAGCTGATCTGTTTCACTTCCAGTGGAAGTTTCCCTCCCTCTCCCTCTCTCAAAATCAATTTTTTTTTAAATTTTATTTTTATTTTATTGATTTTGTACAGAGAGGAAGGAAGAGAGAGAAACATCAATGAGAGTCTCATCAATCAGCTGCCTCTTGCACACCCCCCACCGAGGATATGCCCGCAACCAAGGTATATGCCCTTGACTGGAATCGAACCCGGGACCTTTCAGTCCCCAAGCTGACGCTCTATCCATTGAGCCAAACCGGTCCCGGCTCAAAATCAATTTTTAAAAAGCCTTAAGCGCAGAAAAGGGAAGAAATCGTGTCTGAAGGGCACCCTGTGCAGCTCTGTCCCGTGTGTGTGTGTGTGGGGGGGGTCACTGGCTGGGGGTCCTGCCTGGGTCTCGGCTGCGGAGTCTGGAACCCACTCCCCTCGCTGCTGCTGCTTCTGCTTCTGGAAGCGCAGGGATGAGGCCGGAACCCGCGTCCACGCCCGGCACCGCCCAGGCCCCTCCCAGGTCCTCTCCCATCAGGACCCCATGTTGTCCATCCCTGTGTCCTCTGCTATGACAGCCCCCAGGCCGGGCAGTGTAACTTGGATTCCAGCTCCCGCTTAGAAGACGGAGTAACAGTCTATGCTGGATTTTTAAAAATAGGAAACACGGTGGACCGCCGTTTGGCTCCGTGGATAGAGCAGTCGCCTGTGGGTTGACGGGTCCCAGGTTCGATTCTAGTCAAGGACAAAGTTGTGGGCTCCATCCCCAGGGGGCGTGCAGGAGGCAGCCGATCCATGGTTCTCCCATCATGGATGTTTCTCCCTCTCCCCCTTTCTGAAGCCAATGAAAAGAATTTCTTTAGACTTTCTCTAACACCCAGCTCGGCACGGGGGGTGGGGGTGGGGGGGACACTCACCCGGGTGCGAAGTCGGCCTGGCACAGGGGGCAGCTCTGCAGGGCCTGTGTCCCACCCCCCGCCGGCCGCTCCGGGACCGGGGGGACCGGGGGGACCGCGGGCACCTCGCGGGGCTCCGGCGGGGGGCATCCTAGCGGGGACGGGGCGGGGGGCCCCAGGCGCCCGCCGGCCGCGCGGAGCACCCGGTAGGCGCAGCCCGGGCCCCCTGCGCCCCGCGGGGCCGGCGGGAAGGGCGTCCAGGAGAAGGTCTCGGGTCCCACGGCGAACTCCTCGGGGGGCACGGCGCGCGCGGGGTCCGGCCCGGGCTCCTGCGGACCGGGGCGGTCAGTGGCGCCCCCGGAGTCCACCCCCCCCCCCCCGCCACCGCCGTCCGGCCACGCACCTCGGCGGGGAAGGCGGGCAGCGGCGGCAGCTCCTCCGCAGCCCCGTCCGCGCTCACCGCGCGCAGCAGCTCGGCCCACAGCCGCGCGCGCTCGCCGTCCGGGGGGGGCCGGGCGCGGGGCCTGGGGGGCCTGGGCGGCCCCGGGGGGGGGGTCGAGTGTCAGCTGAGGGGGGCCCGGCGGGGGGCAGTCAGCGAGGGGCGCGGGGTTGGGGCAGCGGGAGGGGCGCGGGGGGGGGGGGGACGGGGCGCACCAGGACGCACGCGGGGGCATGGCACAGGCCACGGCCCGGAACGGGGACGTGGGCCGCCCACCGGCCGCTCCCCACTCCCCTCTGACCCCTGAGGCTCCAGGCCCCTCCTCACCCGCTCCCGGAGGGCAGCCTCCGGCGGCTCAGCCGAAGCCGCGGCCTCCGGGGCACCTCCATCGTCCCGGAGCTCGCGCGTCCGGCGGAAGTGCCGGGGGCCCCGCCCCTGACGCTGGCCCCGCCCCTGCCCTGACGCTGGCCCCGCCCCCGCCGGGCATCCCTGTCGGGCCGGCTGGACCCCGGCCATGGAGCCCGCTCGGACCCCTGCAGGGCGTGCGCAGGGGACCCCAACTCCCGCCCCAGCCGGACCCGACCTTCCGCTCCTGCGCGCTGGATCGTGTCCCCTGGGCACCCCTCGGCCTGCCCTCTGGCCATGGGGTGCCCTGTCAGAGCAGAAGGTGTCCCCACCCCGCCTTTGGGGAGATGAGGCCGGAGAGCGGGCTCCGGGGAGGCGGACTCGGCCCGGGGAACCGTTATTCCGCCAGGACGGGGTGCGGGGTGGAGCTGGAGCCAGCGAGGCCTGGGAGGAGGGGCAAGTGGGCGGGCGGTCCCGCTGGGTGCGCACCCCATCCCCTCCAGTCACCCCACCCCACCCCCTTTCCCGCTGTCCCCAGCTCTGCAGACCCCGCTGGCCCTCCCAGGACCGTCACCGGAGTGAGGTGACAAAGCCCAGGGCCTGGGGGAGGTCCTAGGGGCCTGGGAGCCTTGGGGGGGGGGCCTGGGCGGGGCTCCCCTCGTTCCTGGCGGGGCCCATCTGGGCTGTGTCACGCGGAGATGGCCACTTGGTGGCAGCAGAGGCCCAGGCAGCCTCTGCCACTCCGGACCGCAGCCCTGCCCGTGGCCCTGAGGCGGCCCTGGGATGACCAGGAGGGTGCGCAGCGGGCAGGGGAGGGGGCGGCTGCTCTATGCGGACACAGCAGCTGTCACTTGGGGGCTGGGTCTCAGCCGTGTCTATCTCCCCAGCCCCCCGTGGGGCTCTGCTCTGCACCCACTTCTGCAGGGGCCCCCAGGGCGCTGTCCCAGCCCCCTCAGCCCCTCCAGGGCACCCCCCCTCCAGGCCCCGTGTCTGGGCTCCCCCTGCCCAGTGCAGGTCAAGTGCGCGGTCCTCCTCCTCTGACAGGTCGGCCCCCAGCTCTGAACTCCTGCCGGACCGGGGACCGGTCTGGACCCCAGAACAGGGGGTTCTCACCCTAGAGCCTCCCAGCGGCGGGCAGGCACCCCTCAGCGACGGGGTCAGCTGTGGCAGGAGCTCTGACCCAGGCCCTGAACGGCGAGGGGGCTCCCCGCTCCGGCACGGCAGGTGCCAGGACTCCCCGACAGCTGTGCCGGGGTTCCCTGCCCAGGTCCCAGCTGCCCTGGCCGCGGAGCCTGTCTTGGATGTGTCCCCACATGTCGCACGCCAGCGTGGGGTCGTCCAGGAGGCGGCGCCAGGCCCCCCTGGGGCAGAGCACAGCCCTGCCAGGCTCCCGGTGGTGGCCGGTGTGGTGACCGGTGTGTGCCCAGTGCCCGGGTGGGGAGGCTGCGAGGACACCCGGTGAGGAGCCAGGCCCTGAACTGGGCCCAGAAGGAAGCACCAGGATCCTCTTACGTCCCGGCCACTCTGGCCCCTCCCCCTTCGGACCTCACAGGCCTGTCCCCCGGGGGGCAAATCGAGGCAGGAGCCTCAGCTGGACCCGGGGCGCTGGGCTGGGAGAAGGGTGGGTGCCCAGGCAGCGCAGGCCCCAGGGGCTGACAGTCAGGGCTTGGTGGAGCCTCACTCTAGCCTTTCGCACAGAAGGGGCCCCCCTCTTCCTCGGCTGCGGAGGAGGGGCCCGGACCCCGGGCAGGCCTGCGCTGGTGGCACAAGGCCCAGGGCCTGGCGCACAGGGGAGGGCAGAGCCGGAGCATCCCGTGAACGCCAGCCTGGGCCCTCCTCTCTGGTTTCACCCGGCTGCTGAGGATTAGCACCCCCCTTCCCCGCGGAGACCGGGGGCCCAGGGCCGGGGCACTTCCGCGGGGAGCTGCCCACCCTGAGCCGGCATGGCAGGTGCGGCTGCCAGGAAGCCCCGTCCCCTCGCTCTGCTTTCCGACAGCTGCCACCCCAACCCCCAGACCCCACAGGGACCTCCAGGAGGGGGGACAGGAGCATGTGCTCCCTGACAACCTCCCTCGTCCTATCCTAGGATCCCGTGTCCCGGAGCTGCCGTGGCCGTGGCCGTGGCCGTGGCCGGGGAAGGTTTAAAAGTTGAATTTGACTTAAAGGCTCCCGTGTTCTGAGCCTCGCGGGGACGGACCAGCACAGGAGCAGGAATCCTCGGCTACAGAGACTGTTTCAGTGTTTGCAGGAGGCCCCTCCCGCTCAGGCAGGAAGTGGTCCAGGGGCCAGGAGTGTCCCGCAGGACCTCTCGGACCCGGAGCACCCGGCCCGGCGCTGGGTCCTCACCCTGTGCTCTGGCCCCCTCACCTGGGGGCTGGTGAGCCAGACCCCCTCCCCTCCCAGGCTCTGGCCCAGATCCATGATGCCAGCAGCCAGCGGCCAGGCCCACTCCCTCCCCGGCAGCTCCACCGCCCAGGACAGGGTGTGGTGTCCCCTGGCTCCCACTCGGGGGGGCAGGCCTGCCTCTACGCCCCCAGGCTCCCCCCAGGACCCGGCCACAGTCAGCCGGGCTTGTCCAAGCCCCACCCCAGCCCGCCCGCCGGCCGGCGTGGCTCAGGGGCTGAGCGTCGACCTCTGAACCAGGAGGTCACGGTTCCATTCCTTTCAGTTTCCCAGTGAAAGTGTCTGCCCGCAGGCACATGCCCTCAGCTCAGAGCTGCCGGACGGCACAGCCGCCTCCCAAGCCCGGCCTCCTGCTGCTCGGCCACACCTGCCCGCCGGTGAGCGCCACACAGGCGGCCCGCCCCGAGCCAGGCGGTGGCACCCCGGCTGCGTGAGCACCAGGCAGACAAGCTGCATCGAATCAGTTGCCTGGGAAACATGGCGGCTGGGAGGGCGCAGCTGGGTCGCCGGGACCACCCACCAGGGAGGCGCCCGGGCACCAGGGCTGCCCACCGACAGCGGGATGGGCGTTGGCGGCCGGGACTGCCAAGATCCGCCGGCCAGAGCCGGGGCCTGGCACAGCCTCCAGCCCCACCCCGGGAGCCCCACAGGCCAGGGGCGGCTTGGAGGTGAGAGACGGGGACTCACCCCCTGTCTGCTCGCCCCAGGTGCCCAGGCGTGTGGGTGCAGGCAGGGTGCCCGCAGGGTGACCTCCACGGCCTTTGCAAACGGGGATGGACCCGGGCTGATGGGCGGACGGACGATGCCCTGGGGGCACGGGGCGCAGACCAGGGGCTCAGACCTTCACTGGGGGGCAGTCCTGTCCCAGATGCGTGCCCCCCCGTCTCCCCGCCGACCCCGACCCACACGGGCGCCTCCTCTCTGCTCCCGCTTCCCGGAGTCTCCACCGCGGTGTGGAAGCCTCAGAGCTCACGGCGGCCATTCTGCTCACACGTGCGTCCTGCATTCTCTGTGAATGTGCGCACATACATGTGATGTGTACGCACATGGGTGTGTACACGTGGTGTGTGCTCGTGTATCGTGTGCGTGCATGTGTGCACATGGGTGTGTTTGTGTGTGCTCGTGTGTTGTTTGCATGTGTGTGGTGTGTGCACATGTGTGTTCATGTGAGCTGTGTGCACGTGTGCGTGTGGACATGTCCTGTGTCCCTGCCCCAGAGCAGGAACCCAGCGCTCTCCCAAAGGGGAAATGGAGGCGTGAGCTCAGCCTCAGCCCCAGGTGCACCTCAGCCATTCGGCCGCCAAGCGCCTGGGGGGGTCCTGAGGCCCGTGGGGGGTCCAGGCCCAGCGGCCCCTGGAGTGGCTGGTCCCCGCCTCCTGCGTCCCGCCTCCGCCTGCTCGCCCCCCACTCTGCCCTCCCTCCCTCCTCCTCTCCCCGTCCTGGCAAGCCGACTGCAATCCAAGCCTGCTGTTCGCTCCAGCCCTGCAGTTGTCTGCCAGCCCGTCCAAGTTCAACATTGCTCTCGGGGCTAGAGCCGGGAGCCGGCCCGAGGTGGACGGTCTGCGGAGGGCGCTGGGCGGAGGCCAAGGCCAGGCCTGGGCGGTGGGCACCCTCCCCGTGGGTGCTGGGTCCGGGGTCCGGGGTCCGGGGCCAGTGGCCGGGTCAGCCCTCGGCCTGTGCCCAGGTCCCGCCTTTGGAGCCGCCTGTTGACTTAACCCCTGGCTGCGGCCGAGCGAGCAGGCCCGTGGGCAGCGGGGAGGGGCTGCGGGCCCGAGAGGGGCTGGCGCTGGGCGAGGCCTCCCTGGGGGTCCCTCCCGCTCTGAGCCGGCCGGGCGGGGGGGCGGGCCGGACAGAGTGTCCAGCCAAACAGCCTCCTCTGGTTCCAATCGCGTCCTCCTCGGGCCTCAGTCTTCCCCGCAGGAAAGTGGGGGCCCGGCTGCGGGGTGCACTCCCTCCGCCCTCGGGCACTGCCCACAGCCTGGGCACGGCCACCCAGTTGCCAGCACAGCCCAGGGCTGAGGGCCTCCGGGGTCAGAGCAGCGACCTCAGCCCTGACCCCTGGGGGTGAACAGGGTCTCCTGTCCCTGCCCCCCTCCTGCCACCGCCCTCCCCCTCTGCGGGGGCCCTGCCGCCAGGATGCCCCCCTCTCCCCCTCTCCCCTTTCCCCCTTTCCCCTTCTCTCCTCTCCTCTTCTCCTCTCTCCCTCTCCCCCCTCTCCTCTCCCCCTCTCCTCCCAGGAGCCCCTGGACTCGGCTCCCGCCCGCCACACCTGCCTGTTCTTCCGAGAGCAGATCCCCGTGGGCCTAGAGCTTGGGGTCCGCAAGCCCTAAGGGACGGGGCGCTTGGCCCCCCTACCCCCCCCCCGCACGGTCCTGCAGGTCAGGCCCCTCTGGACAGGGCACACCACGGCCTGAGCTCAGACCAGGCCCCTGTGGGGGTCTCAGTGTCTGGAGGAAGGGCAGGGGCCGGAGCCTGGGCCTGACACCCCCACGTCCCCCCAGTGAGAAGGGCGGGGGACAGAGGCCCACAGAGAAGGTAACGGTGAGGTGCCAGGCCCCCTGTCTGCCCTGCCACCCCTCACTGTCCCACAGCCCCTGCCCCCTGCCCCCTGCCCCCTGCCCCATCGGCCCCAGAGCCCTTG